ACGAACCTCAAAGAAGTGAAAGTGAGAAGTACACTTGAACGCATTGGCACGGGAGACCACTTCCTAAATGTGACACGAGTAGCACAGACACTAAGAGACACAATGAATAAATGGGGCCTCATGAAACTGAGAAGCTTCTGTAAGGCAAAGGACACTATCAGGAAAACAAAACAGAAGCCTAGAGAATAGGAAAAAAATTTCACTAACTACACTTCAGACAGAGGGTTGATCTCCAAAATATACAAAGAACTCAAGAAACTAGATATTAAAATACCAAATAATCCAATTCAAAAATGGGGTACAGATCTAAACAGAAGATTCTCAACAGAGGAATCTCTAATGGCTAAAAGGCAGTTAAGGAGCTCCTCAACATCCTTGGCCATCAGAGAAATGCAAATCAAAATGACTCTGAGATATTACCTTGTGCCAGTGAAAACGGCTAAGATCAAAAACACTAATGACAAGTATACAGAGTAAGAGGAATACTCCTAATTTGCTGGTGGGAGTGCAAACCTGTACAGCCACTTTGGCGGCTTCTCAAAAATTAGGAATCAATTTAATCCAAGACCCAGCAATAACACTGTTGGGCATATACCCTCAAGGATGCAGATTCATACCACATGGACATTTGCTCAACTATGTTCCTAGCAGCATTTTTGTAATAGTCAAAACCTGGAAACAACCTAGATGTTCCTCAACAGAAGAATGGATAAAGAAAATGTGGTACATTTACACAATGGAATATTATTCAGCTGCTAAAAACAATGACATCTTGAAATTTGCAGGCAAATGGATAGAATTAGAAAAAAAACATCCTGAGTGAAGTAACCCAGACACAGAAAGACAAACATGGTATGTATTCATTCACAAATATGAATATTAGACATAAGACAAAGGATAACCAGCTTACAACCCCAGAGAACAAGAAACAAGGAGAACCCCCAGGAAGGGGAAGTAGGTAAGGTATCTTTAGTAAATAGGCAGCATTGGGGAGGGGGAGGTTGGTAGAGGAGTGGGAAGAGGAGAAGAAGAGCAGAGGAGAACATGAGGGATTGAGAAGATCAAGTTGGATAAAGGACAATCTATGAAAGAGATACCTTGAAAGAGGGAGACATGATGGGGTCAGCAAGAAACCAGGCACTCCCAGGAAACCACAAGGATGACCCCAGTAAGAATCTAAACATGAGTGGGGGGGCACCTAAATTGCCCTTTCCCTGTAAACAGATTGATGACTACCTTAATTGTCATCATCCAATAACTGATGGAAGCAGATGCAGAGATCCACAGCTAAGCACAGGACCAAACTCCTGAGTCCAGTCATACAGGGGGGGAGGAGCAACAGTATGAGCAAAGGGGTCAAAACCATGATTGGAAAAGTCACAGAAACAGCTGACTAGCTAGTGGGAGCTCACTTACCCCAGACTGACAGCTGAGGAAAACGCATAAGACGAAACTCGGCCCTCTGAATGAGCGTGACAGTTGTGTGGCATGGGCAGTTGGTTGGACCACTGGCTATGGAACCAGTATTTATCCCTAGTGCATGAACTGGCTCTTTGGAGCCCATTCCCTAAGAAAGAATACCTTGTTCAGCTTAGGTACAGGGGTGAGGGCCTTAATTCTGCCTCAAGTGATGTGACAGATGTTGTTGAATTACTATGTGAGGCCTCACCCTCTCTGAGGTTTGGATTAGGGGTGGTGTGGGGAGAAGATGGGATAAATGATAGGACAGGAAGGAGAAGGAATTGGAATTGGTAGTAAAATAAGATTAGTTTTAAAATAAAAGGAAAAAAGGGATGGAAAGAAATGCCTCTGGCGTGTTCATCTTGTACCACAAAATTTCAGATGGAAATCAAGGAAAAGGCACTATGAAAATAGGCTTTGGAGCCTATGATACCTGTCAATTATGATTTTTTTCTTCTAAGATGTATCGATGCCACAATTCTTATAAAAACAAAGGACAGAGAAAAACAAATACAGAAAACATCAACGAAATGTCACCTATCATCACTGTGGTCATTGCTCTTAGTTGGATGGCTCTGTTGAGCTGTTTTCAGCTCAGAACAAGGCTGTTCTTGCCTCTTTGCAGGGTGGATCAGAAGGTCAAAGCTATTCATCAATCTGACTACAGGGCAAGGCCAGTTCAAGCACCCTCTCCACTATTTCTTGGGGTCTTAGCTGGGGTCATCCTTGTGAATTATTGGGAATTTTTCCAGTGTCAGGTTTCTTGCTAGTCCCATAATGGCTCCCTCAATCAAAATATCTCTTTCCTTGTTCTCATCTCTGTCCTTCCTCCACCTCAACTATTCCATTCCCTCAAGTTCTTTTCTCATCTTCCTTTCTCCCCTCCTCTTTCCCTTGCATCCTTTCTTCTCCCCCGACTCCCACGTTCTCAGTTTTGCCAGGCGATTTTGTCTTTTTTTCCTTTCCAGGTGAATGTACGCCTGTTTTTTTTTTTATTTAAGATTAACCTTGGAGGGTAGGGTGGAGAGATAGGTGAAGGGGATGGGAGGAGGGGAGGGAGAGGGAACTGCAAAAAAGATAGTTTGTTTTCTTTTTGAAAAAAGAAAAATCAAATAAATTAAACTGAAGAACAGGAGGAGGAGGAGGAGGAGAAAAAGGCCAAAGCTCCTTCCATGCAAGACAAAAAGGAGTTTATTTCAACTATCCCTGGCCTGTCTCAGGACTGTGACATCACTGTAGAGAATTTCTTTCTTCTCTATTTATGTTGAACTGGTACAATACCCTTCTCCACTGTGACTACACCTACTTTACAGTTGGTCAGTGAACTCAATTCATACACAGGTCCCACTTCATTTGCAAATTCACATTAAAATTTAGAGAAGTTAGAGGATACTCATTCACTGGTCTATTTTCCTCCCAAAGAGCAGTCAAGGACTGCTGCCCAGCACTGGGCCACAGAGGCAGCATTAGGTATTCAAAGTGATTCCCAATTGTATAGTGTGAGGTGAGCCTGAGCTACAGGAAACATTGATCTGAACCAGTGGTTCTCAATCATCCTAATACTGTGACCCATTCAGACAGTTCCTCATGATGTTGTGACCCCAACAACAAAATTATTTTCACTGCTACTTCATAACTATACTTTTGCTACTGTTATGAATTACAATATAAATATCTGTGTTTTCCAGTGGTCTTAGGCCACTCCTGTGATAGGGTCACTTGATCCTCCAAAGCTCGGAGATGTGAACGCCGAGGTTAGAAACCACTGCCCTAAATTAATATAAATAAATACATAAATAAATAAAAAGCATTTAAGAAAAAATGGAATAAAATTCTTAAAATAGTAAAATATTAAAAAATAGAGAGACGTAATGCATTTTTAAAAATGAATTTTAAAAATGATACCAAGAATTGATGTTTTAAAATGATAAAAATAATTGGAAGAACACTTAGCTCTACTGACTTTGAAATGGAGTAGACACTATCCTGGTAGAGGGAATGCCATTCATAAAAGAGTGTATGACTCTGTCCCATGTAAATGTTAGCCACTGAGTGCTGTAAGCTAAGACATGGAGTTACAGCCAAAGGCCTGTGTCTCAAAACTCTCAGCTGACTTAGCTGTGTCAACCAGAATTGCACACATCTGAATTGGAGTGTTTGCTAATTAGAAACTGAATACTTAGTAGTTCAAGCCAACCTTCCAAAAATGTACACCCACCAATTCTATCTGTCTTCAGTCACATGGAAGAAATTAATACATCAAGGAAATTACAGAGAAAGTCACTCACCATGCCCCATCAGTCCTTCATTGTAATGGAGACCCTTGCAGCTCACTGCCTTCAACATCAGTCAGTGATCTAGCTGCTGTCTAGTCTGTTTCCCCCTACAGTGTGGACAGTACACTGTTCCTCCTCTTCTGGTCTGAAGGGAGAAGCTTTGTTCCACACACAAACCCTTTCCCTGTTCGCAACAGGCAGTCCACTTTGTGTCTCAAACTGGTAATCTTAGTACTCTTGTGCTGCAGGTGTGTATTGCCAGCTTTAGTGTGGTTAGTCAGGAGCATAACAAGGGCAATGCCCTGAGGGGTAGACAGGGTCCAAGTCCACCTCAAGCAACAAAGAAGACCCTGACTCAAAATTGCTTTTCTAAAAGACTGGAGATGCTGCTGTTCTAGAATTACTGTACCTTTACATCACACAAGGTCTTTTTGTTAGTTGTGACCCTGTAGTGGTCCCTTGAGCAGCTTTTAGAGGCTGTTTTTTTTTAATGGAGGGATGGGCCTTTCTGCTGGTTGTAAATCAGGCTGGTCTCCTTTGTTGTGAGAATGTAGCTGGTTAATTCTTGGATAACAAACATTTACATCTTATACTGATCTCTAACAGGTGTGGTTAGCAACTACTTATCTTTGGGGTGTTTGGGACGCCGCCCTCCCTTACTTTAATTCTACTTTGTGACTTAATGTCTCCTAAGGACTGGTAAGTCCTTGTGCCGTCACTTCCATTATCATCAGCTCTACTCTTCCACATCGTAGTTTAGCAGTGGGGTGCTACTCCAACAAGCGCCACAGAACTAACTCCAGGTGGATCCTAAACCTAAATGTTCAAAGTGAAGACCTTCTGGAAGATACTAGAGGGATGAGTGCACTCGGAGTTTGATAAATCTGTGTTCCATAAAGACAACACAAGCACTAAGAGCGCCGGCATTTCTCAAGGGTGTCAGCCACGCTAGTTCAAAGCACAGTCCCACTCCCAAATTCTCTGCACAGACGTAGGCAGCAGAGTTACTCAGAGGCTGCCAGACAGGCCCAGCGGAATTGCAAAGATCACACAGAACCACACAGGACCACGCAGGACTATGCAGAACCGCACTGGAAAATGCAGGACCAGCCGGACAATGCTGGACCAGGCAGGAGCAGGCAGGAGCATGCCAAACCCGAGTCTGGCCACTGGCTCCCACTCTGGCAAGGGACGACCCACAACACTGGCTTCCCACGGCTCAACTGACCGCTCCTACTCTGGGGATAGCAGCCGCAAGCTCACCATGTCCTGCTTTTACAGCTTGCCCATGCTCTCTGCTCAGCTCCCCACAGCAAAACTCCCCGCACAGCACACAAAACCATTGGTGCCAGCTTCTCTTCAAAGCCAAGCCTGAAGCTGGCTGCCGGAAGGACCCTGCCCGACACTGACTGGCAGATGTCTGATTGGCTACTTAACCCTGAGTGACAAGACCACCTCCCATAGTGTTACACTGTTCTTAAAGACACAGTATGATGGTTCCTGAAGCTCCCTTCCACCCCAGAAAAAGATCTTTTCTAAATCAGCAGAAATATGCATTTCATTAGCACTTGCCCCTGATTCCTATAGCAGATCCCGCTGTCTTCCTGCTCTCCATAGGCATTTCCCCGTCTTTGTGTTGGAAACAATGCGGCTAGCTTGCTTGTACAGCCCACTACACTATGTTGGACTATGTGCTATGTGCGGTGATGTCATTACCTGTCACACAGGTGGAAGCTTGCCCAGAATATTTAACAACTAAAGAGAGATTTCAGGACACTAAAGGAGGTGTTTCTTATGTGGCTACACACTGAGGTTAGGTGAACTGAAGGTACTTTTTACCTGGTTGTCAAAGGCCAGAAGGAGGCAGGAGATGCTCTGTAATCAAATCTATTTCTGAACATGATCACAAAGTTACAACAAAAAAAAATTAGGTACATTCTTATTTCAAAGTCATGCAGAAACATATGAAGTATAAAAATGATGCAAAGAAATGCTTCTGGCATGTTCATCTCATACCACAGGTCTTAGCTGAAAACCAGGTAAATGACACAGAGAAAGGAGATTGCTTTGAAGCCTATGCAACCTGCCAATCCTGATGTTCAATCTAAAAGATGACTGTACCAATGCCACAGTTCTCACAAATACAAAAGTTAGAGAACACAAATACAGAAAACATAAGAAAAGTGACTTATCTGCATGAAATACTCTGTTTTTAGATGGACAGTTATGATGAGCTCTCTGAACCTCAGAATAAAGTTGCTTTTGCCTCTGAACAGGTTGGCTTAGTGGAAGGCCAGAGTTGCTTCCATGCAAGACCAGAAGGTGTTCATTTTAACTAGCCCTGGCTGCTATGTGTCTCAGGGCTGTGGTATCACTGTAGAGAATTCCATTCTTTCCTCTTTTGAACCTTTAAAAAATATTTTTAGTTATTTAGTGTTTAGCCTGCATCTTTCTTTGCACAGTACTGACAGAGGCCAGAAGAAGGCAGGAGATGCCTGAGACTGGAGTTACAGCAAATGGTTAGCTAGCACGTGGGTCATGGAAATGGAACCTGGGTCCTCTATAACAACACCTAGTGTTGTTATTTGCTGAGCCATCTCTCTGGTCTCTCATTTTATTTAAAATTTATTTCCATAGATTGTTAATTAAAATATTACTTTCCCCTTTTATCTCTTCATTCCCTTCCTTCCCAAATTCTTCTTTGTTAAGTATGAGTGGATCGATGCTGAAATACATGAATACAACCTGCTGTGTCCATTTCTGGTGACTGTACATATACAGAAAATTAGCCAACTGTGTTGTATTGGATAAAAAATTAGGAAACTCTTTCCTAACTGAGACTTAATCTCTCAAATTGAGGAGAATTCTATTATTCAATTAGCATCAATTGTGTGACCCTCACCATATTGTCTTGAACAGGAAACAAAGCCAAGAATAGAAAACATGAGCTCCATCTGGACGGGTGAGTGTGTGCTATCCAGGGGTGAGATTGTCCCGGAAGAGAGCACAAATCCCCCTCCCCCCAGCTCCTTCCGCAGGGCTGTCTTTCTTACACACGACCCCCCCCCCCCCCCAAGCCTGCGTGATCTGCAAGGTCCTTTGCTCAGGAACAGTTTTCTGCTCCTACACTAAAGCTACCCACCCAGAGAGGTGAGTGCCTGCCTACCGGGCAGGCCTCAAGGACCTCCAAAGGGAGCGCAGGCACCTTCAGCTTACCCAGCAGCATCTCCTGTCTTCTACTCGACCCCGCCCTGCCCTCCAAGTTAGACCATTTGTTCACGGGTCATTGGATTACCAGGCGTCCATGTTTTGGTGCTGACGAGTTTCATCTGGACGGGAACAGTTCCTGCTTCTACACTGAGGAGATACATCCAGAGAGTCAGTCACAGCAAAGTCTGGACCAAGACACCAGGCCTCTCCTGGCTCCATTTGAAGGAAGAGATGGGAAGGCGTCAATGCAAGAATTCCTCCAACATCCTGAAAGGCAGCATGACATCACCAGAATCCAGGGATCCCGAAAAAAGAAGAATTGTACACCCTACTCCAGAAGAATTAGAAGAAATCGACTCAAAAGTGAATTATATGAAATTAATAGAGGACCTTAAACAGGAGGTGAAAAACTGATATAAACAATTAGAGATTACAAACAAAAAGGTAGAGGAAGTGAATAGATCGCTCAGAGATACCCAAGAAAACCAAGAGAAACAAGAAAAAGCAATCAAACAGGTAAGGGAAGCAGTTCAAGACTTGAAGAATGAAATGGAAGTAATGGGAAGGATGGAGACGGAAAATCTGGGTAAACGAACAGGAACTACAGAGACAAGTACTACCAACAGATTACAAGAGATAGAAGAAAGAATGTCAGACACTGAAGATACCTAAGAGAAAATAAAAACACTGATCAAAGAAAACAGCAAAACCAACAAAATCTCATCACAAAACATCCAGGAAATCTGGGACACAATAAAAAGACCAAACCTAAGGATTATAGGGGTAGAAGAAGGAGAAGAAGTACAGCTCAACGGTCCAGAAAATATATTTAATAAAATGATAGAAGAAAACTTTCCCAACCTAAAGAAAGATATTCCTCTGAAGGTTCAAGAAGCATACAGAACACCGAATAGACTGGACCAAAAAAAAAAAAAAACCATCTCCTCGCCATATAATAATCAAAACACAAAACATACAGAATAAAGAAAGAATATTAAGAGCTATAAAGGAAAAAGGCCAAGTTACTTATAAAGGTAAACCTATCAGACTTACACCGGACTTCTCTATGGAAACATGAAAGCCAGAAGGTCCTGGATAGATGTTCTTCAGAAACTAAGAGACCATGGATGCAAGCCCAGACTACTACACCCAGCCAAGCTTTCGTTCACTATAAATGGAGAAAACAAAATTTTCCAGGATAAAAACAAATTTAAACAATACGAAGCCACAAATCCAGCCTTACAGAAAGTAATAGAAGGAAAATCACAACCCAAGGAGTCCAACAATGCCCACAATAACTCAGATATCTAATGACCCTTCACCAGCACAACTCGAAGAAGGGAAACACACAAACTCCATTACCAAAAAAAAAAAAAAAAGAAAGAAAGAAAAAATGATCGGAGTTAACAACCACTGGTCATTAATATCACTTAAAATCAATGGACTCAACTCACCTATAAAGAGGCACAGGCTAAGAGATTGGATACGAAAACAGGATCCAACATTCTGCTGTTTACAAGAAACACATCTCAACCACAAAGACAGACATCTACTCAAAGTAAAGGGCTGGGAAAAGGTTTATCAAGCAAATGGTCCTAAGAAACAAACAGGTGTGGCCATACTAATTTCTAACAAAGTTGACTTCAAACTTAAATCAATCAGAAGAGATGGAGAGGGACATTTTTTACTCATAACAGGAACAATTCATCAGGAAGAAGTCTCAATCCTGAATATCTATGCCCCTAATATAAAAGCACCCACTTACGTAAAAGAAACATTACTAAAACTCAAGGCAGTCATCAAACCACACACACTAATAGTAGGAGACTTCAACACTCCTCTCTCACCAATGGACAGGTCAATCAGACAGAAAGCTAACAGAGAAATAAGAGGATTAAGGGAGGCAATGAATCAAATAGACTTAACAGACATTCCACCCAAATAGGAAAGAATATACCTTCTTCTCTGCAGCTCATGGAACCTTCTCGAAAATTGACCACATACTCGGTAACAAAGCTAACTTACACAGTTACAAAAAAATATTAGTAACCACCTGTGTCTTATCGGATCACCATGGATTAAAGTTAGAATTCAACAACAATGCTACCCCTAGAAAGCCTACGTACTTATGGAAAATGGACAGTCAACTACTGAATCACACCTGGATCAAGGAAGAAATAAAGAAAGAAATTAAAGTCTTTCTTGAATTCAATGAAAATAAAGACTCAACATACTCAAACCAATGGGACACTATGAAAGCAGTGCTAAGAAGAAAGTTCATAGCACTAAGTGCCCACTTAAAAAAAAAAAAACGGAGAAAGCACACATTGGAGACTTAACTGCCCACCTGAAAGCTCTAGAAAAAAAAAAAAGCAGACTCACATAGAAGGAGTAGAAGACTGGAAATAATCAAACTAAGGGCTGAAATCAACAAAATAGAAACACAGAAAACAATCCAAAGAATCAATGAAACAAAAAGCTGGTTCTTGGAGAAAATCAACAAGATTGATAAACCCCTATCCAAAGTAATCAAACAGCAGAGAGAGAATACACAAATTAACAAGGTCAGAAATGAAAAGGGAGACATAACCACAGACACAGAGGAAATTCAAAGAATCATTAGATCTTACTACAAAGGTCTATATGCCACAAAATTGGAAAATGTTAAAGAAATGGACACCTTTTTAGATAAGTACCATATACGAAGGTTAGACCAGGACCAGGTGAACAATCTAAATAGACCTGTTAGATGTGAAGAATTAGAAGTTGTTATAAAAAAAAACCTCCCTACCAAAAAAAGCCCAGGTCCAGATGGTTTCAATGCAGAATTCTACCAGAACTTCCAAGAAGAACTAATACCTATACTCCTTAATGTATTTCACAATATTGAAACAGAAAAGTCATTGCCAAATTCCTTTTATGAAGCTACAGTTACCATGATACCAAAACCACACAAAGACTCAATCAAGAAAGAGAACTTCAGGCCAATCTCACTCATGAACATCGATGCAAAAATCCTCAACAAAATACTGGCAAACCGAATCCAAGAACACATTAGAAAAATTATCCATTATGAGCAAGTAGGCTTCATCCCAGAGATGCAGGGCTGGTTCAACACACGAAAATCTATCAATGTAATCCATCATATAAATAAATTGGAAGAAAAAACCATATGATCATTTCATTAGA